TTCCGATAAAATGATTCTCTTCGTTATTGAGCTGGTCTCAGGCTGAGTGACGGAGAACTTGAAGTTGTCCGTACCAGGATGCCAAGAAACCCCTAGAATCTTGGTGAGCGAGTCCTCTATGAATCGTTGTTCTTGAAAAGTGCTGTCAGGTTGAAGAGATGTGAGTAGAGCTGGGCTATTTGAGTGCCATTTGGCTAGCGGAAAGCCTCCTGACCGACAGAGCTGTGTCACCTGATGAGCGGTCCTGAGTAGCTCTTCATCTGAGTCAGCACCCCCGCAGATATCGTCAACATATCGTCCTTTCATGAGCGGTTCCACAGCGAGAGGATAGTTCGATCCTTCATCCTCAACGAGCTGATGAAGAACACGCATTGAGAGGAACGGAGCTGACCTAGTGCCATATGTGACCGTGGTGAGTTGATAGGTGGCGATATCTCCGTTTGAGTCGGTCCAGAGTATTTGTTGGAGTGGCCAATCTTCCGGATGCACCCGAATTTGACGAAACATCTTGGTTATGTCCGTCATGAAAATGAGCCGTTTCCGCCGAGAAAAGAGAAGTACATCCGAGATATCCTTCTGCAACTTCTCACCCGTGTGCATAATCTCGTTCAACGATTGTCCTGAGCTGGTCTTGTTGGAGCCGTTGAAAACAACTCTGAGCTTCGTTGTCTCACTGCTCGCCCTGAGAACTCCGTGATGAGGGAAGAAATATTCCGGAGGAGCGTCAGCCCGAGAAGAACACGGACGGCCCGAAACCCTCAACCCTCCTGAAGCCGAGGCCTCATGTGCTAAGGTCATTTCGGTGCCCGTCCCCCCCCCCCATTGAGCTGGCGCTGATGAGCTGATCTAGCGAGCTGTCCGGAGACTCGACGCATGTGGCCGAGCTCTTCATATTCCCTGAGGAAGTCCGTGTAGAGCTGACGATAAACCTCATCACGTGAGAGTTTCCTGAGCAGACGATGGAGGCAAGCGAGTGCAGACGATCGTGAATCTCCTAGCGAGGAAACTGGAGATTTGAGCGGTATCCGAACGATGTAGCGGCCAGATGCATCTCGTGAGTGGGTCCGTTGAAAGTGTTCTTCACACTGCGCTTCCTCCTCGTTGAGCTGAACCTCTGGTGTCCCAGGGATCTCTTCCTGGATCCAGAATTTGGTGAGCAGTTCGTTGAGATCCTCGTTGGTGACCGTTAGATGAGAAGTTGCTACTTGAGTAGTATCAGGACCTTCCGTTGGTCCGAATACGATCCATCCAAGTCGCGTGAGCTGAGCCGATGGTGAGTTTGGTCCGTTGGTGATGACTTGTGGTAAGATGAGTTGTCCATAGACATCAGCGCCAAGAAGGATGTCAATTGGTGCTGGTGTGAGAAAATCGGGATCAGCGAGCTGGAGTCCTTCCAGATGATCCCATGTGAGCTGACTTGGTGAGAATGTCGGTAATGAGGTTGTGAGCTGGCCGAGAGCATAGGCAGAAACTCTGAGCTGAAAGTGAGAGCAAGTGGACTGTATTGTGAGCCGAACCTTGCCTAATGCCGGCCCAGATGCCGTGTCTCCAATCCCCGATATTCGTAGCTGTGTCTTGAGCCTTAACAGCCCAAGCTGACGAACGAGCTGGTCTGAGATGACGGAGATTTCCGACCCTGGATCGATGAGTAGACGAACCTGATGAGCTGGCTGATCTGGGCGTACCAAAAGCGCAAGGCTGGTAGCCAGAAGGACCCCAGGGCGGAAGTCTTGAGCGGATCCGGAATCTGAATGGTGACCTGAGCAGGAGACGGCAATCTGAGCTGGTGATCTTCATTCCGACGACGTTGACTGGCCTTGGTCACCAGTCACCACCATGGGGATGTCGTTTTCGTGGGTGTAGGTCACCACCGGAACGGCCTTTTGCTGGGTTGAGTTGGTCTGTTGCCTCTGCTGAGCTGGACGTTGAGGCTGACTCGATGGCTGGTTGTGGAGCATCGAGTGGTGGAGGCCCCCGCAATACTGACACTTGGTCTTGGACCTGCAGTCCCTCACCGAGTGCCGACCAAGGAAATTGTAGTAGAGGTAGCGACGCTCTACTACCTCCCTACGAGCTGATACCGAAAGTTGACGGAAGGATGAGCAGGATGTGAGGTAATGGTCTGCCTCACACATCGAGCACGGGTACGTGACCTTCCCCGATGGAGCGGACTTGAGAGCTGGCCTCGATTTTTGTGGTGGTTGAGCGGTGCCGTGGTGAACCTTCGCAGCGGTCGACTGCTTGGATGAGCTGACATTGGAGGGCTTTGTGGCAGGAGCACGAGGAGCCGAGTTAATCTCGATGCTCTCCATCGCGCGAGCTCTCCCAGTGAGGAAATCCTTGAAGTCCTTGTATGAAGGATACTCCGCCGATGAACCGACCTTGACCTCCCAGGCTTCACGAAGCTTTGAGCTGAGCCGTTGCGAGACCGTATGTACGATCACCTGGTCCCACTGGGAGGTTGGGGAGCCGAGAGCCTCCAGAGCGTTAAGTGCCTCAGAGGTGACAGTGAGCAGGGCATTGAGCTCTTTGGCACTGTGAGAAGTCATGGTTGGGGGACTGAGGAGTTGTTCCAAATGAGCTGAAATGAGCAGTCGCTTATTCTCGTAGCGAGACAAGAGCAGTTCCCATGCAATCGAGAATGACTCATCCGAGATCGTAAGATTCGCGATGCGATGAGCTGGCTCCCCTGAGAGACTAGTACGAAGATAATGCATCTTCTCCACGTTGGATAGATCCGTATTCGAGCCGACCAGAGACGCGAAAAGATCGCGGAACGAGCGCCAGTCCGCATAGGCCCCTCCGAACTTGGGCAGAGAAATCTCAGGGAGATAACGCTTGGAGTATGTGGGCTGAGCCGTCCCAGACGCGAGAGACCGACGAGATGAACCTGAGATCCCCCTTTTATCAATGAGCTGGCTTAAAATACCCCTTGCCTCATGATAATGCCCGATAGTAATGTCGAACCGATGGTCCTTGAAGTACGGCAATTCAAGGATCCCTTCGATCTTGCCGCTGCCAGCGATGAGCTTCTCATGAGTGCTCTCGAACTTTTCCCAGTAGGTCTCCAGGATCTCGAGTTTACCCTGGAGATTGGAGATTGTGAGGCTTTTCGCCTCTTCTGTGAGCAGCTCCTTGTAAACGCGTTCGATGAACGCTGCCCGAGAGTTATTCAGGCTAATGGTCGCCTCAAATGATGCCATAATTGAAAATAAGTGCGCAGCTCAAAAAAAGGAATAAACCGGAAAAAACCTGAGTAAAGCGACCCCAAAAGCCGAGCAGTGAGCAGTGAGAAGCGATGAAATTGAGTATCCGGTCGGTTGTGCGGCAACAGTAAAAACACCGAAGAATCTTAATTTAGCAGGTAGCAGCAGTGAGCGATTCCGTTGAGCAGGCGCGGGAATTTATTGAAAAATTCAAAAAAAACGAAAAAGGGTTGGAGAATATAAAGGGAGCGGTAGCCAAAAAAAAACAAAGTTGAATGCTCCAAAAAATTCAAAAAAAAAGAGAAAAAATGGCAAAAGTAGCAAGAGGTAATTAAATGCTACTTCNAAAGAAGTGTCTCTAACTAGATCCCGGAAACGAATGAGAGAGAGACACGGGCTTACAGGTGCCACGTGCCCTAATTCGATGGTCACATGACCTAATTTAATATAGATCATATGGTAATAAGGAGCTGTCCAGGACGTGGCGCCTCAGGTGTCCGAATTAACAACCCCCGGTCATCTGAGGTGAGCGCGTCAGGTGTGCGTGAGTGGGGAGAGAATGGATGAGCCTTGCGTACGTTAGTGTGAGGGACCTGTCAGCTGACAGGATTTCCAACATTATCATTCTTGTATTTCTGAAGAATTTTGAGACGCTTGGCGTCTGGCGAATTTTTACTCCATTAGAGTCGAATAATTTCTCGTTTCGAGATCTCGCTGTTTATTTGGTAGAGTGTTAATTATTTTTCTCGTGTCCGCTAAATTCATTTGTTGTTTCTTTTGGATAAATTCACATTTGGTTTGATGGATTATTTATTGTCTCTTCGATTGAGATATTTTCTTCTTTTATTGAATTAAATTCAATGGTTCTAAATCTTAGCGTTATGACTCTCGTTTAGCTAGTTGTCGAGGATGGGATATGGATTTCTCGACATCTTATCGAAATTTTGTTCATTTGGAATTATTTTGGATTTGCCGTTGTCTGAAATATTAATTAGATTTTTATCATTTGAGATTCGACATTGCAGTTATTGTTTTGGGAAAACGGAATTGGGTTTGTAGCGTCGTGTCTCGACGCTCGAGTTTTCCCGGTCATGTGAGCTCGTATTTGTGTTGTAGTTCCGAGCAGGTAGGTTCGGTAATATTGCAGGAAGTAGCAGTCCCGAACAAATATTAAATAATACTCTTTATTAAAATCTTAATTTGGCGAAGTACAGTTGAATATGTTCAGTCTGATTCCGAAGGTATCAGGTGAACAGTGATAAAAAAATGAATATCTGATAATACCAGGCTAGACCAAAGAAGGACATCACTTCCTTTTCATCCTGTGGCTCTGGAAAGTTTGAAACCGCCTCTATTTTGCTAGAGTCAGCCTTAATACCATTTGAAGTGATGATATGTCCCAGATAAACAACTTCCTCAAGAAATTGCATTTATCCGGCTGCAGTCTGAGATTCGCCTCCTTCAGTCGCTGCAGGATCTCTTGCAGCCTTTTATTGTACTGCTTTAGACTCGTACCAAAAAATACGATATCATCCAGATAAACAAAACATCGCAATCCCTGAATTCCAGCCAGTACGGAATTCATCAATCGCTAGAACGCCGCTGGGCCTCCCTTCACCCCGAAAGGCAGACGATTGAACTCGTAATGCCCATGCGGTATGGAAAATGCAGTCTTGCATTTATCCTCCTCTTTCACGGGAATTTGGTGGAATCCTGAAGCCAAGTCCAACGTTGGAAAATATTTTGCATTGCCCAATCTATCCAAAATATCGGAAATATTGGGCAGTGGGAATGAATCACCCACAGTGACCTCGTTGAGACGTCTAAAATCAACAACAACTCGGAATTTAATCTTCCCTGAGGCATCCATTTTCTTGGGAACGACCAATAAGGGCGCATTCCATTGACTCTTGCTTGGTCGGACCACCCAATTCCGTACCATTTCCGTGATTTCTTGATCGACCTCCCCCTCCTGCGATTGGAGCAATCGATGGAAACGAACGTTGTTTGGAACGGTCCCCGGTTTCAATGGGATTTCATGTTTCAGGTGATCTGTTACCCCTGGAGCATCCCCCGGCAGCTGTACAATCGAGTTGAATTTCTCCAAAATCTCCTGTAGACTGTCCCGTTCCTCTCGATTCAGATGCTCGATTCTCAATAATTTTATTCGATCTTTGATTTCCCTACTTTGCGAATTTTGCAACGTCATGACGTCAATTTCAATGGCCGACTCTTGCAATATAACCGCTGGTAGATTGCCAAACTTGTCCGTTGCGTTTACGTTGATTACACACACGTTTA